TGTGGTGGATAAATTATACGGGCATGACAACATATGCTGGCGGCTTTCCACCCCTATGTACACTAGGTAGTGCAGTGCTGCCTTTATAATTAGAGAGATGCTGATGTAAAGAGTTTGACATTTGTTTGTGTGTATGATTACGTGGTGTGTTTATTTAGCGCGAACAGGGAGGAGAAAAGCGCAAAGCAGCAAGGAAGTGACGAGAACGAGACAACTATATTGTATATTTTTTTCCATTAAGGATTACGGTTATTAAAGCGATAATTTTTGTATATTTTTCCATTTAGGGTTACGGTTATTAAAGCGATATTTTTTGTATATTTTATTCCATTTAGGATTACGGTTATTAAAGCGATAATTATGCAGTAAATAAAATCAGTCTATGATTATTCTTTAAAACGGTAAATTCGCTTTCTAACGTCAAAGTATTCAGCACAGTGCTACTCAGTGGTATTTAAAGTCCAAAACATTGTGTCAGTCTAGTAATAATGATAACAGTGATAAACAAAGATGATAGTGGCAAGAATGATAATGGTGATAAGAATTCAACGATAACAGTAAGAAAAAAATATCGTGATTATAGGAAGGTTGATAATGACAGTATAACAAATGTACAAATGTTATAATGTACAAATAATCGTAATGAAAATCGTAATGATAATGATAATTGTAATATATAAGAAACTGATTATATGCCAATTATTGTTGTTATAATTACGATAGAGGTGTTAAGAGATATTAGCGCGTAAAGAACAATAATAAGAATAGATGATGGCGATGATGATGACAATAATGATGATAATGCTAATAATGGAAATAATAATAACCATGATAGTGAGGAATTCGCTGATACAAATGATTATGGTAATTATTATGATAACGATCATGTAATCACAATATTGTTGTGAGACTAAATTAAAACTTGATGATAATTCGTGTTATTGGTGAAAGCAATACCGTCCGTTATTTCCCAAGATAAGATTAGAGTAAAATGTAATTTTCATTATCAAAAATAAAAATAAAGTTTATATATGGCTGTCCATTGTTCACGAAAACGTTGAAATATTTAACATATCCATTAACTGATACTAACATGTTGCTAATACAAATAAAAAGTTATTTTTGATTGATAAAAATTAATAGCTGATTAGTAACTGTTGCAAAGCGGTCAATCGTGGGCGTCTACTCAGGTTGCAAGTACAGCATATTATTTGCAAAGGCGTATGCGGTATCAAGTGAAAATGCGAAGTGAAGCAAAGCCGCAAAACAATAAAGTTGAAATGCTTTATTGCTTGATTTGATATTAGGGCTTCATTCCATCTTTGTATGCACGTTATTTGTTAGTGTTTATTTAAAAATGTAATTTTGAAATATGCGATATTCCATGTGACAGGAACAAGATAAATTTGCATCACCTGTGCTAACTCGGTCATATTACCAGTATAAATGAAACAGAAAATTGAGAAGAGTAAAATGTTACTTTTTAAAATAGACTGAATAGTAATCGACTTTTATCCTCCATCGATTCACGTGGGAGAGGAATTACAACCTTATACATAAGCTGAAGGCAACTGAGCTTACGAGCTTATGAATGAAAGCTTGTACTGTACCGTTTATTACCATACGCCTTCTCTATGATCAATATTTTTTGTATATAACAATTCACTAAATATTCATATGCAGTCTTTCTTCGGTGTTCATTTTGTTTTTGCAGATGTTATCAGTTATGCAACTGTTGCTCATCACCCGTTTCGGTAAACAACCTAGACGGCAAGCAATAATAAATCTCCATTATAAAATCCTCATTATGTTTGTTCAGGTGTTGGAGTGTATCAGGTTTAGCGCTCGGGACATAACAAGCGGAACTCTCATAGTTTGAAGTTCTCCCAACAAACTCAGCTACTTGATCAAGATCGGATAGCCATAAGACAGAAACTGATAAAACTGGAATGAATGCAAGAAGGAACCTTTTTTATAACAAATCAGTTTGAAGTACAGATGCAATTAAAAAAAGAAAAACGTTTATCGTATTTTTTATGACTAAGCATTTTGAAATACAGATGCATTTTTTAAAAAACCTGGTATATTTATCTGCAAGTTCATGAAATCCGTAAAACATCTAAAGCTGAAACTCTCCGCTTTGCTAAATGTTGCTTGGACATTGAACGCAAACCTGATCTTAGCAAAATTCAAAGAAAGAAAATGGAAGGTTCTTGCCAATTTTATAGACATCAAAAGAGAGGAGTAAAAAGTCTAGTTTTCTGAAAATACAGTATCCAAGATTTTAAACCCTATGAGATAACTTGAGTTGTTGGTTTTACTGATTGGTTGAAATGTAACCTTGAACGTTTTAACCTCGCTGAGCAAGGTGTGCTTGTGCGTTGCATGAGTTGCGTGTGTGCTTGTAAGGTGTGTGTGTTTGTACAAATGTATATCTATACTCTTTCTCTCTCTCTCTCTCTCTCTCTCTCTCTCTCTCTCTCTCTCTCTCTCTCTCTATATATATATATATATATATATATATATATATATATATATATATATATATAATGTATGTATATATACTTATACATCTCGCTCTCTCTCTCTCTCTCTCTCTCTCTCTCTCTCTCTCTCTCTCTCTCTCTCTCTCTCTCTCTCTCTCTCTATATATATATATATATATATATATATATATATATAGCTGGGTTACAGCATGTATAGATATGTTTGTATATGTGTGTGTGTGTGTGTATGTACTTATGTATGTATGTATATATATGTATATTTGTATGTATGCATGTATGTATGTGTAACTCAGATATAGCTGGGTTACAGTGTGTGTGTGTGTTTGTGTGTGTGTGTGTGTGTGTGTGTGTGTGTGTGTGTGTGTGTGTGTGTGTGTGTGTGTGTATGTATGTATGTATATATTCAAGTTCCTAAGTCAGAGTAACACTAGCTTTTAAGATGTGTAAATGGCAACGTCGATAAAGAGATAAAACTCCCCCGCGGTTCATCAACGAAATAGATTAATATTTTTCCTTCAACTTGAGTTTTTTTTAAAGGGAGGTGAAGTTAAGCATGTCCTTGCTTCACATTATATGATGCAGGAGGATTTAAGGGTTTCTGTTGGGTCTGTATTCGTCGGGACAAACGTAGACGGTAAACAGTGAAAGCGAAAACCTTTCACAACGTAAAGATATGATTTTATTTCCTTTTTTTTAGTTACATGTGATTCCGATAAATTGTTGATGAGGCTGGGTGACTTCGCATAAAATCTTCGGGTTTATATATATAATTTTCATGAGAATGTAAGCGAAATACGTCAGTTACTTTCTCCTACCTCATTCTACTTTGAAAGCAGTACACTATAGATGATGTGTCGATCCCATGTAACATGTGTTTATGTTACTTAAAGGTCTATTGCTCATTACTGTTGCCTGAATCAGCGAGATCCATAAAATGCAGCAAATACTGTTGCAATCTTATGAATAATAACTTATGTAATATTGGGAAGAAACGAGCAGTATGCTAATCCCACTCTACCGCGAACTACCATGGTCATTATACTGTACTTTCAACCATTTATTCTCTCTCTCTCTCTCTCTCTCTCTCTCTCTCTCTCTCTCTCTCTCTCTCTCTCTCTCTCTCTCTCTCTCTCTCTCTCTCTCTCTTTCTCTCTCTCTCTCTCTCTCTTACGCACGCACGCACATATCAATATGTATAATAATGATAGTGATACTGATAATGATAAGGATAATAGAAATTATAAGGAAAATAATAATAAATGTAATAATGATAATGAAAATAAAATGATAAAAATGATGATAATAATGATGATTATGTGATGATAATAACAATAGTAATGATAACAATAATGACAAAGATAATGACGATAATGTGATGATAATGACAATGATAACAATAACGATAATGATAATGATAACAATAACGATAATGATAATGATAAAGATAATTGTAATGATAAGGATGTTGATAATAATAACAATAATAATAATAATAATAATAATAATAATATTGTTAATAATAATGGTAATGATAATATCGATAATAATAGTGATAATAATAAGGATAGTAGTAATAATAATAGTAATTATAACAATACTAATAATGATAATAATAATAATGATAACAATAATATTATGGCAGTGATGATAATAATAATAATAACAATAATAACATTTATTATAATCATTATTGTTAGTATGATAATAATAATAATAATGATAATATTAAGATCATGATATTGATAAAAATGATGAAAACAGCACTAGTAATGATAAGAGTAATAAGGATTATCATTATTATTAATAATGCTATTATTATTATTGTTACTATTAACATCTTTATTATCATTATTTTTAACTATTATTATCACTATTATTAATGTTGTTATTATTGTTATCATCATTATCAACATTAGATTATCGTTGTTAACATTAGCATTAGCATTATTATCATTATCATTACTATTGTTATTATTATCATTATAGTTCGACAAAAATAACAGTTTTAATGATAATGATAATAAAACTATTTTACTCATGTGAAACTAATGAAATAAGCATATCGAAATGAAGCCAGTAAGTCTTTTTTTTTTTTTAATATTCCACACAGGAAAGTTTTATCTTGACTGTGGCTTTGATCTCTCATGCAGATTTTTTGAATTCCCAAATATTTTTTTGATGTATATAAAAAATTGAGTTTGCAATAACCCAATGTAAGAAAATAGATAAATATTTATATCGACTTTTTAAATTGTGAAATATTGTGTATTTAAATCCATGATATAATCTTTCGAAAGATGTAGGGCCTAAGCTTAAATGAGACTCTATAGTATTTTGAAAATTATATATATTTCTAAGGATTATTTTTTTACATTTTACGCCCAATATAATCCTATAAAAAAATATGTATAGCCAAACTATGATACACGAAAGTATTAACCCTATTATATCGAAAAAAAATTACACATTTAGTCTCTCAATAGATGTTTTGACAGAACAGCCTTTGCCAAGCGAGAAGAGAAACGCTCAGAAAGAAGACTATTTATTTTGGACTTATTTTGGACGCTAAATCGAAGGTATGGCCTACTATCCCCTAGAAATGCATCAGATATCCATTCTTTCTATAGAAACTTATCAGACAGCTACCTCAAAACACTCGAATTAGGGCATATTAAGAGTAAAAAATAACCGAAACGAGCTCGCTGGGACTTCCTCGCTCGGTACACTCGTATCTATAATTATGACTAAAAAGGAGGTTATTTAATTTTTTTTGGGATAATTGGGCTAAATAGTTGCTTCTTTTTCGTGCAGTTTGTGTCATATCGAGGACCGGAGTATAGGGGTTGCTTTAATAGGTTCAAAAGAATTAGGTAACGTTTATTTTTTGTTGTTGTGGAGGTGGTGTTATTCAACGTGTTCAAATAGTCTTTATTTTTTTTTATCTATTTATATATTTTTTAAGGCCGGAAGGAAGGAAAATTTTGTGTGAGCATAAACTTAACTCCAGGTTTTGGCTTATTATATCTAGCATGTTCTGATTATTAAATGGACCTATTTTTTCTGTTGTACGGTTATCTTTATGTAATAATAATGTAAAAGCTATATGTTATAATGCTTATATGTATTAAGAATGATATATAGATATAATGTGACAGATGATATATGTGAGAAAAACCTCTTTGATATATTTTGGTGAAATGTAAAGATGTTTTGATGGAAATTGGTGTCCTCCGCTGGCCTTGCAGAAATCGGCGCGGCCTTCGTGCCTGTTGGTGCTCTGGTCGGCTAATCTGGTAAGATAGAGTTCAGAGATATTTCTGGTGATTTATTGTCTATTGAGCAGCTAGTCCAAGCCATAATTTGCCAAAATATAAGTGGAGGTTTGTGGGTCCTTGTTTGAGCATAAAGCACAGGAATTGAAATGGTCAGTTATGCTTTTGTTATGTAAAGTTTCAAGCCCCTTCCAGTCATCATTTCTACCTTGCTGATGCAGTCCATATGCATACTTAATCTGTATGTAGTAATTTACAAAACTAGTTGACATATTACAGGAATGAGTTATGTTTTCAGTATATTACTTGATGATATAATGTAAACATTGAGCAACTAAAAAAAAAAAAAGGGTTGTGCGTTTAGATGCTTGTTACAGAAACAATGTGAATTCACTCTTCATTTTACACTTTCATATTTTCCAACTTCATGTAGTTTATTACACCATATAGAATGAGAACATACCATTTCCTATTAAATATAGTGTGCTTTAGCCCTGTGATCTGCTATATATTTAGGTTAGGTTACCAAACATAAACCTAAATTAACTAAAGCGGAAGTCAAGTCACCAACTTTTCTAAAGGTAATAGAAATCTTACACAGTTCAGATTGCAACTTTTATGCTCATCATTAACCTATTCACAATAAATAAAATTTCAAGTAAAGTTTGGCGAGGCTATGGGTATCACCAGCACACCAGCAGCACACCACTCCAAGCATGGGTTTTTCCACACTTGTCCAGTCCCCCCCCCCCCCCCCAATCCCTTGCTCATTGTTGTTGTGGGGGGTGTTAGGAGATGGAGACTAAGGCTCCATGCAGGGGATCACCTCTGCCTTGGACTTCAGCCTCAACTAATTTTGCATAGTCTTTTCTTCTCCCCCATTCCTTTTCCTTTTCTCTTCTTCATCCCCTTCTGCCACTTATCCTAATAGTTACCTCGTTTTTACCCTTTTTGCCACAACACTTTATCATAATGCTATATAGCCTTTGATGTCTGGCACATTTATTTGGTTTGACCATTAACCATTCTGGAAATCTACAAACACCTAATTGAACCAAAAAAACTTTCTTACCTGGGGGCTTTGCCCCCAAGCCCTACCCTATTGCAATATTTTGAAGTACTGATAATGACCTTAGATGTTGACGCTGCAGAAAATTTTCAATAAATGAATCAATTGTCCATGTTTTGGCCAGATTTCCAAGGTGTATATCCAGCCTTGACATGATAAGACATCACCTGGTGTAAATAGGCAAAGTGTGGTTAGCCAGTGAAGATAAAGAAAAGTTTGTAGTATTGGTAAAGAAAAGACAAAACCAGTCTTAGGTATTAAAAAAAAAAATATTTAGCCATAGTTAATGTAAACTCATGATCACTTATCAAAGTTTTTCATTATATATATCTGGTGATGCTGTGGTGTTAATATTTCACACTCCAACTATGGCCATCAAATCTCCATCATGCAAATTATGTAAGGATAGAGCTTGTACTGAACTGAATTGACTGGGAAGATTGCAGACTTATACTAAATGATGAGAAAATAAAACATGGGCTTGACCCAAACAGAAGGCAAAATAAATTATGGATATTATGTAATTGAAAAAGTTAATAATGAGTAGTGTCACATAAATTGCTACATATATAATGAATTGGTAGTACTTATTTTATGAATGAATATTACCTCTATATTCTGAGTTCCTTTGGTCAAGCATATAAGTAGGTTCCTGTTCCAACCAAGTCACCTCAAATAAATTGTTAACATTTGAAACTGGTGGACAGTTTTCTCACTTATTTTTGAGTGGAAGCGGGGTATAGGGAAGGTAAATAAGTATGTTTGGTGTTGTTTTGCCTCTTCTAGTCTCAAGGCCACAGAGAACTTATTCCTCCCTTTCCATCCATTTTTTTCAACATCGGGTTTGTGTCTGGGCGTGGCAAGGATAAGACCAGGATTTGTACTTTTCAAGGCTTGAGTAAGGTGCATGTACTTGCTTGTGACTAGAAGAATCAGTGCGGGAACCTTAGCTGCCTGATAAGTATGGAAAAAAATTATGATTTAAAAGATTTGTAAATAGCTTTGTTTTACTAGCTTTACAATGAAAACATGTACATATATTTATTGGAGAAGTAAGTAACATTGATCTTTCTAGGATAAGTTATAAATTAGTGGTTCCTAACCTTTTTAGTCACAGACCCCTTTAAGAATCTGATGAAAGCTATGGACCCCTTCCCAAGTAATATTCACATGGATGCAACTTTGCATGCAATGTCTATAATGTACTTTGTTGAGATTTGATTGTTTTGTCCATAAATGATATGCACAATGTATAATTAAACTTCAAAGTAAGCAATCTAGAAACACACTTTTTATGTAAGAAGTTATGTCCAGTGTTGTATAGCAAATGTAAATGTTCATTTCCATCTGATCCTCATGGACCCCCTGAAACCTCAGGTTAAGAACCCCTGTTATAGATTATACTTTCAAATCAATTTCTATGATGTATGTCATGCAGCATCTATGAATGCTAACACAGTTGTTTTCTAAAACTAACCTACTAAAAGTATGGAAACGTATATAAAAAAAAATCTCTAGAATAAGCTATATAGAAAACAGTAGTATTTAGATTATATAGGATACTATTTTAAAATTTGTTTGCTTCTTTACGTTTTTTTTTTTTTTTTTTTCTATTCTTTTTTCTTTTCTTTTCTTTTCTTTTCTTTTCTTTTCTTTTCTTTTTCTTTTTCTTTTTCTTTTTCTTTTCTTTTCTTTTCTTTTCTTTTCTTTTCTTTTCTTTTCTTTTCTCCATAATGTGGAGGCTAATTTGGTTTACTTGTTTATTTTTCACAAACTACTTTTCTTTAATATGAAAAATATGTTATTCAGTCAACCTGACAATGTATTATCATTAATCCCTTTCAACATTCTGCAGGTAATTGTGAGGCACTGGTGAAAACAAAACCATGGGTGACTGCAGCGATCTTGACCGTCAGATTGAGCAGCTGCGGCGCTGTGAGGTCATAAAGGAAGCAGAGGTCAAAGCACTCTGTGCCAAGGCACGGGAAATCCTTGTGGAAGAGAGTAATGTACAAAGAGTGGACTCGCCTGTTACAGTAAGTTCACTCAGTTGTGTTCAATTGTTTACTTTTCATTTGATATACATTTATGTATCAATCTTTGTAAGATATGTGTGCATTTGTGTGTGCATGTGCACACTTATATACCTATGCCTAAATATGTTAGCATAAGAATACAAATCTAAATTATATTATTTCAAAACATTATATGCGATATGAAGTATTTTTGATTTGTCATCTGTAATAATACATTATATTTAATAATTTCAGGTATGTGGAGACATTCATGGACAGTTTTATGACTTAAAAGAATTATTTAAAGTTGGTGGAGATGTGCCAGATACCAACTACCTCTTTATGGGAGACTTTGTTGACAGAGGCTTCTATAGTGTGGAAACTTTTCTCCTACTTTTAGCACTGAAAGTAAGAAGTAGCACATGTTATGCCTGAGTGTTTAGGAGCATGTGTTGTTAGATGTAATATTTATATATACTTGATTAAGGTAATAACTTGAAATTTAAGTTCATATCAGTGCACATCAACTTTTTTCACACAAGCAGGTTATTTCATTTTGTTTTTGAATCTCCCACACAGGTTCGATACCCAGACAGAATCACATTGATCAGAGGCAATCATGAGTCACGACAAATTACTCAAGTATACGGTTTCTATGATGAGTGTTTAAGAAAATATGGAACCATCACAGTATGGCGATACTGCACAGAAATTTTTGACTACCTATCACTATCTGCTATTATTGATGGCAAGGTAAGAAGTTTGTATGAGCTTGCTGAAGGGGTTTTCCAGACGAGAATCCTGATGAGAGAAAGTATAGCGAGAGGAGAAAGTAACCACACATTACTTGAAATATTGGGTGCTTTCATTTCCAGTGATGTCTAGAATATTTAGCGTCACTGCCTGTGTTGGCAGTGATGCGGATATTTTAGATTTAGGAGAGGAAAGTATGTTGAATGTTCCTTAGAAGTAATGTGTTCTAAATATCTCCTAGAGTAATGTTGTAGTAGCCCATAATTTAAGTTGGCTTTGTAACCTTTACATTGCTAGCTCTTTACTGCATAACATTGAAAATTTGTATAGCTTTTGTGTGTGACTTTGATTTTCCACAATGAAGATATGAGTTGGAAAGTGGAACTTGAGAAATTTAAAAAATATTTATTATATCAGTGAATATTTTTCTCATTTTTGCATTGTCTATTCTTTTTCCATAGATTTTTTGCGTACACGGAGGTTTATCACCAAGCATTCAAACACTAGATCAGATACGTACTATTGACCGCAAGCAGGAAGTCCCCCATGATGGCCCTATGTGTGATCTCTTATGGTCTGACCCCGAAGGTAAGTTTCGTTTTCAGGAGACCGTGAAAAATGGGTGGTTAGTAATGGAATGAATAGAAAGCTTGAAGAGATTAGAGTATAACAAATTATTTGGTATCTGATATAGTAATAACCATATTTCAGAATGAAATTCATATACCTCTCTCTCTCTCTCTCTTTTCTCTCTCTCTCTCTCTCTCTGCCAAAAATACGAAAGATTTACTAAAAAAAATGTCTGTTTACTCTTTTTATGGTGTTATTTGTTCTGTGAGCCTCAACTAATTCAATGTGTTTTTAATGAGCAAAAATAAATTATATATTGTAAGAATTTGTTTAAGTGTTTTTACTACACAACTTGACAGACAGGCTGTTATTACAGATGGTAATCAGGGTTTGATTAACGTGAATTACTGCAACAGAATGAGATAAATTATATAGACATAGTTTATATATGAATTTGGAATTGCTTAAACACTATTTTAAAGATCTTTCAGATTTACTGGGTCAGGGATTCTGTTTTGGCTCATTGTGTGTTCAACACTTTTGCTTAAAGTTTATCAGCCTTTTTTATTTTAACCCATTCGCGCCGGGTGTCACGTACACGTGACGTGCCTACTGTGAGTTTACTTGTTTAATTGTTTTCACACATAGATGGCTACACTTGTACTTGTACATCTTGTCTCGCCTGTTTACCCTTTTCTTTAATTTACAAAAATATCTTACGTTATCTTATTTTGCTGTTACTAATGTTTTTATAACATTATAGTAATTATATTATTTTTACCCGGCACGAATGGGTTCAGCTTGAAAGAAAGTTACGTCACTGGAAAACATATATTCTAAAAGTTAAGATTATTATTAAAAGATAATGAAGGTTTGCATTTGTAGTGGCAACCATCCCAATCTGTTTTGAATTACTGTAGCCAATTTGACAATAGTAGAAACATCCGGGGACAGTTCCATAGGTACTGGTTAAGAAAGTTTTCTTGGCTTGAAAATTGAATGTAGATTTGGAAAATATTCTTTAGATTATCTGATTAGCAGCTTAATTATGAAAAAAGTTAGCAAGTAGTTGTTTCATTTTTAAGAATCTTAATAACTGATAAAATGTGTTTATAACAATTTGACCCACAGTATACTTGACTCATTTATAGTTCTTGTATGATTAAACATTTAATATCAGAATGCATTTTTAGTTGTTATCAGTTGTATATAGCCTCGGCAACATACAAATATTAACCCAATGACGCCGGGTGTACAAAAGGAAAATAAAACTCTACGCTCTGGCAAACAAAGGCAGCGCGCCGACTTTGAGCGCCGGAGTACGGGGCGTCAGCCCGAATCACTGGCTCGCCGCGCTTTGGCGCGCCGCCGGCTGGTTTGGCCGTACGCCACCTTTCAAGCGATTTGTTTACACGCGTATCGCTGTCACCCGGCGGCAAGGGGTTAATACTAAGCGATATTTCTCTGTATGAGTAACATTTACTTAACCCAAAAACTTCAAACCAGCTTGGTTGTCCCCTCAGCTGAAAAAGGGCAGGATTTTTCCATATTTCACCAAGTTTTGGTAGTAGACATTAGGAGGGATTACTTTTATGCAACAAAAAATATCTGATTCTTGTTAAAGAAAAAACATTATCACAGTTATTCCTCACATATGAATGATATAGGGGATAGATTACAATACTATGGTGTGTGGAGGCTAGAAATATAGAGGAGGAGGAAAAGATTAGAGTTTGACTGTGTAAATTGTGGCATTCAGTATTAGAAGTACTGCTTTACACATTTCCTCATTCACAAGAAGATAAAGGTGGGAAAACACAACTGTCATTTGTCCAGTCAGAGAAGGGACTGTGGGGGAAGTGGGGGTATGTAGGATGATGTTATGGTTGTGGCTGATTCATAATAAGAGTTGCAGGGAAAAATCCCGCTGGTTTTTGACAGGCCGTCCATGATTGTGCCAAATGGGACAGTAGGAGTTGATTTGTTTTTTTACTTCTTTTTCAGATACTCAAGGCTGGGGTGTGAGTCCACGAGGAGCAGGCTATCTCTTTGGTTCAGATGTTGTAGCACAATTTAATGACACAAATGGCATAGACATGATATGCCGAGCTCATCAGCTGGTCATGGAAGGATATAAATGGCATTTTAACAACACAGTTCTAACCGTTTGGTCAGCACCCAACTACTGCTATAGGTTAGTTTACCTGAAAATTGTATCTACACAGAAAGGGCTCCATAAGCTCCATAAGTTCTCTCTCTCTCTCTCTCTTTTCTCTCTCTCTCTCTCTCTCTCTCTCTCTCTCTCTCTCTCTCTCTCTCTCTCTCTCTCTCTCTCTCTCTCTCTCTCTCTCTCTCTCTCTCTCTCTCTCTCTCTCTCTCTCTCTCTCTCTCTCTCTCTCTTTCTCTCTCTCTCTTTTCTCTCTCTCTCTTTTCTCTCTCTCTCTTTTCTCTCTCTCTTTTCTCTCTCTCTTTTCTCTCTCTCTTTTCTCTCTCTCTTTTCTCTCTCTCTTTTCTCTCTCTCTCTCTTTCTTCTCTCTTCTCTCTTCTCTCTTCTCTCTTCTCTTCTCTGTCTCTTCTCTGTTTATCTCTCTCTCTTCTCTCTCTCTCTCTCTCTCTCTCTCTCTCTCTCTCTCTCTCTCTCTCTCTCTCTCTCTCTCTCTCTCTCTCTCTCTCTCTCTCTCTCTCTCTTCTCTCTCTTCTCTCTCTCTTCTCTCTCTCTTCTCTCTCTCTTCTCTCTCTCTTCTCTCTCTCTTCTCTCTCTCTTCTCTCTCTCTCTCTCTCTCTCTCTCTCTCTCTCTCTCTCTCTCTCTCTCTCTCTCTCTCTCTCTCTCTCTCTCTCTCTCTCTCTCTCTCTCTCTCTCTCTCTCTCTCTCTCTCTCTCTCTCTCTCTCTCTTTTCTCTCTCCTCTCTCTCTTCTCTCTCTCCTCTCTCTCTTTTCTCTCTCCTCTCTCTCTTTTCTCTCTCCTCTCTCTCTTTTCTCTCTCCTCTCTCTCTTTTCTCTCTCCTCTCTCTCTTTTCTCTCCTCTCTCTCTCCTCTCTCTCTTTTCTCTCTCCTCTCTCTCTCTCTCTCTCTCTCCTCTCTCTCTCCTCCCTCTCTCTCTCTCTCTCCTCTCTCTCTCCTCCCTCTCTCTCTCTCTCTCTCTCTCTCTCTCTCTCTCTCTCTCTCTCTCTCTCTCTCTCTCTCTCTCTCTCTCTCTCTCTCTCTCTCTCTTAGTGATTGACTCATTGGTTACTTAAGCCCATGTGGAGCCATCTTTGTGTAAATAAACTAAAGTCATTGTGTGAATGTCATGTCCAAACAAGCCATCCATACAAGAATTTTTGCCCACAAGATTGTTGACAATTTGATTTACTCTGGGAAAGCAAAAATACTGTACGAGGCTAAAGAATGTACTGCAGTTTGGGTCCAAAATAGTTATTATATCCATACATATACTTTATTAATGTGATTCTCTTCTTTTTTTAGATGTGGTAACGTGGCAGCCATTTTAGAACTGGACGAAAATCTTAAACGGGACTTCACAATATTTGAGGCAGCACCACAGGAGAGTCGAGGTATACCAGCAAAGAAGCCTCAAGCAGACTACTTCCTTTAGGATTTTTCTTTAGAAAAGTTGCAGTATTGCTGTGTAGGATATCTTTCACTCATTCTGTGAATCAACTTACACTTGCTGCTTTGGCACAAGGTGCTACGAGACTTATGGGCATGGTATGATTCACTAATTAATTTAATTTTTTTCATCATTATATTAATCATTTTATGACTGACTATCTATATTATTTTTATTTTTATTTTTAGTATGAATATTTTCATTAATTTGGTTATCATATCAACAAACTATTCCCTTTTTTCCTATTATTCTTGTTGATTTTTTTTTTCTCTCTCTCTCTCTCCCTTCGTTCTTTCTTTTTAACTTTTTCTTCTCTTTTATCACAGCTATTATTTTTTATATTTTGATATTATTTTTGTTAATACTATTTTTATAATTGTCATTATTTTATTAGAAAGTCAGTAAAACCATTTTAGGAATTATTGCTATCAGAGGACCCATTATAAGTAATTATTGGGGGGAATTTAGATGTCACAGATATTCGTAAAAGTTATTTTGGTGACAACTGAAATGTTGAAACATTTACTTGCTCACATGTTACTGTCTTTTTATGATGAGTGAACTACATTCTTTCCTACCTATATTAATGACATGCTTAGGATCTGTAGTTGAAATATTTCAGTGTGCATCTTAGAATGGTGTAAGCACAGTTGTTTCTAAATTCTTACAGTGAGAGAATAGACATGAAAATGTGCATTTTTGAAATGATTCCCACTTGGAAAAAGACCCATCTTGCCTATCCTGACCAGTTGAATCTGTATATAGCAGGTATGAATAATCAAAGGTTCAGGCCTAGGGCAGATTGTGGGCCTGTAATTGTATGTATGTACACATGTACTCACATGGATGTATGTGTTTGTGTGTGTGCATGGTTGTATGTATGTGGGCATGTTCCCATCACACTCATTTCCATGTTAGATGACCTTGGAGTGCGTACTTGGTATATCAAAACTCGGTAGAATTGAAATTTGTAGGTTTTCCCCCACTTGCAATGTACGAGACTTGGAAATGAGGCTTTCTTGAAGTATTTGCTAAAGTAGCTTATGTGTTTCTGGTTTACTTTTTAATGAAATTTATTTCTTGTGCAGTGTTGAATGGATCTGGAAAAGTCTCACATTTGCTCTCAGAAGAATACTTTCTGTCTGCACCAGTACAGTTCTAGCCATTTTTTATACCAAGAACACTCCTCAGGTTGTTTTAGGTGTCACTGGTAAACAATGTGACATGAACTCCTTATGAGTCAGTTTGGTGCACTGAGGTGAAGCTTCACCAGAAGTGACTCATCTTTTACTGTCATCTGTACATGAAGCATAGTCCATTATTCATCCAGGGTTCTTGATTGTCATAGCTCATTGCAATTTTTTGCAAACATGAAATGTGAATGCATTATCTTTAGAAAATTATTTGAAAACTTTCTTTCCCTCCATTTTATTATCAGATGTGCAGGTTTGTGCAGAAAAGTATATATATGTATATATCCACTACTTCAGAAGTCTTGATTCTCTTTCAGTGAAGGTACTGTAAAGAAAGCAGAAAAAAATCACCAAGACTCTGGTGTTAGAAACTGACTGTCCTAAATCATTTACATTGTTCATATTGAGTAATATTGCCTCCACTGTCTGGGAGACTGAGAATCATTTTGAACACATGACTGGCTGCAGGGGGCATCCTGTTCAACCAGCCTACTCATGAATTGGTAAAGATATTGAAGTACCTCAGTGGCTTGTATCAGATGGTTCTTTTTCAGTCTTCTGGCAGTGTTGGGAGTGGATTGAAAGTCTAACTCATCATGTTGGTCACTTTCCATCTTGAAACACTGATTTGGGGGGAAAGCAGATAAATAAAGATTTTCTTATGATTGCTGTTGATATCTTGTGTGTGAAAGTATTCAGAGGGAAACGAAAATAAATCCAAGCATGTAGTTTGAAAAACTGTGCAGACCTTGTTGAGCAATTGGGAAAGAGTTCCTTAAAATATCCTGACTTCTTGTCAATATCTACATGTGTAATTATCTACAGCTCTAGGCAGTAAAATTTGGTGGAAATTGTGTGCAGAAATTTATTTTTTTGCAGACTACATACATTCTCTTGAAATGCCATTTTTTATATATATACTAGTGACATACTTGATGCTCTGTCACTTTGTGATGTAATCTACTGGTATTTTAGTAACTTTTCATTATAAATATTGTACAAATATTCCTAAAGAGGAAAAGGCTCTGATAAAGCAAAAGAATTCTAGCAGGAAAGAGGACATATAGCATTTTCCTGTAGTTCTTTGGTTTGTAAAGGAGAAGTAGATTGTCCATTAATTTATAGACAATATAAGAAGATATTTGTTTAAAGTAGATTATCCATTAAATTGGATACAGTATATGAGACAACTCTGTGAGAATCTGTAAAATTCTTAAATGAAGTTTAGAAAGTGCTCTCTCTCTTGTTCTTGTCTTTTGCTTTACTTCTTTTTTCTTTTTTTTCCACAATTGGTACAATAAGTGATACTAGCCAATATATGGAAAATAAATAATGTTACATTTCATATGGTCAAACTGACTGAAATGTAGTCAGCCACTTACGTTAAGATGAATTTCAGAATGAAACTAGGTTTTTGTTTCCCATGCCACTGTATTTTATCATCTTTTTTCTGGGTACAGTTATCTTCCATGAACTTCAAAGTGTTTCTTTTTTCTGTTTTTAATTTTTGTGCTGTTTACTTTTTCAAGCAAGACAGAGAATAGAAAACCAACATAGAGGGATTTTTTGTTTTCACCAAGGTTTTGAACCTGTCTAGAACTTACATGTAAGAATGTGTAAGTGCATGTTTGCATGCATGTGTCATACATTATATTGCTATTTAGTAAATTTTGAATCAGTAATCGAGTAAGAATAAGTGCAATGGAAACAAACCAGTCTCCGATAATTTACATCCTCTAGAACAAATTCCTTTGTCTCCATTAAACTTTTTATTTTATTATTAATTTTTTTAATATTCTCGTCTAGGATGTAACTGGCATGGGAGATAGATAGGTTTACTATCATGGCAGGATGATTTTCTGGCAATGATGGATGGCAAGTAAAGAAATAAAATAACTATAAAATATGGTAGTCTCAGCACAAGATGAAAATGGAAACCTACATGTGTCTGATCTTTGAAGGTTTTATCATATAGTATGAATCTTTATCATGACTACGACAAAGGGCGGCACGGCATTCACGAAATTCTTGACCACTGGGATGATGTGTACAGTACAAAAGATGTGTAGCTCATATTTAACATTTATTTTTCTTTTCCTAAACCAGAAAAAAAATGTCAATGGAGTCCAGCTAATAAAGATTAAAAGATTGGTATCTAGTGGCTCTTCTCTTTATTATTTTCCATTTCATGATTATGGTTATTTGTATCCTTACAAGAATTTTAAAAGGTATTGTCTGTATAAATAGTCAGCCCAAGATAATCCCTAATAAATAAATATATTCTCCCATGTGATGTGCATTGAAGAACTACAATACATATGAATAAATTTTTTTTTATTTTTATTGTGTTTTTATTTATGATTTTAGACCCATAATGTATAAGAAGGGGTATGCAAAATACAAGCATTTAATACCTTATTAAATAACTTTATATCATTGTGTTTACTAAATTTTCAAAGGAACAGATCTCATCAGTTTCCCTTCCCATTGGAGGGGGGGGTTAGGAGAAGAAGACGATCTGTTCCTCATACCTTTCCATTTCTTCTTTTCCAATCCCTTCTACTATTCACTTCCAAAGATGTGAGAGCCATTTTGAAAGGATGGAAGGCTGACTTTGTGCCAGTCATGAACTGCCTAGGGAAACCATGGGCACGGTATTCCTGTTTAGTTGTCTAGCACTTACACCTCAAGGAGACCCCGAGGGATGAATACTCCAGGCTTACCATGGCCAGTGATAAAGACTTTTCACCCATATTAGGGGTATTGAAGCTTACTTTTGTATCAAGTAGCCCCATAGCGTTAAATTCTCCTGATTCCTCTCAGACTTTCCTTTGACCATGACTCTGAACACTGCTACTACTACCCCCTAACTATGCCTAAAATTATCAGTTACATTCCAATCCCAAGCTAAAGTAATATCAACCCTGACTAACATCACTGGCAAATCCATTCCTGCCAAAGCCTCGTCCCTCCCTCAATATTTGCTCTTGAAATGTTCCATATTCCTGACAAACTGCCATGTCTATAACAAGGATTGGTCAGAATAAAAATCTTTTTGCATTTCTAAATCCAAACACTCCAATCTCTAACACTGCCCTGACACCTACCTCTCTCCTTCCTTGCTCTACCCATGGCAGACAATCCAAATATTCCACCACATGTTTTCCCACCACACCCTCTCCTCTACCTACCTTGTCCTCTACCCCTCAGATGCCTATCTCCTTTTCTCCCCCTCACAAAAAAAAACTTTCAGACCTCTCCAACCAAATTCACTTAAGAAATTCTCAAAGACATTCAAAACTATCTAATCCTGACCCAAGATAACATCCCTACACTCATCCATCATCCAAGCTCTTTGCTCCCATTCCCTCTACACTCAAAGTAACCGCCGACATCAATCTTCCTCCTATTCATGTTCCTCCTTCCTCCCACTCCCAACATATCCTATTCCCCCTGCTTCATCTGCATCATTTCCCCTTCCTTCCCCATTATCCCTTCAACTTCCCCCTAGACACACGTGTGACTCCTTGTCACAACAGCCCGTCCCTGGATTCTCTCCCTCCTTGCATTTCTGAAATTGTGATCTAATCACCCTTAAGCCCCCTTTTCTCCTTTTGCTAATCCCTACCTTACCCTACAGAATCCCATACTACTTTCTTTAAAAGTTTTGATCAAATCAAACTTGTTAATCCCTACCTTAGCCGATTTACTCATCCTCTCTACCCTCACCCCTCTTTGCCCCTCTCAGTGCCATGCTATCCTTAACCGTGATATGGCTTTTGACATGTAGTGCATTTAATCATCAACTAACCCTCCTCAACACCCTTTTCATTACTTCTATGGTGCTATATGACCTTTGATGTCAAGCACATTCACTTTACATTGTAACCATTAAACTTTCCTATCCATGGGTTGCTATAGTAACCATAATTATATAGTAACCAGGCTAGTAACCATAATTAGAAATTAACAATGGTTATATGATGAGAATATATCCTAAACATGAAAAACAAATGACAAGGACCTCACTCAGAATTAACAAGAAACTGGTAATCTATAGTAAAAGTCTCATTTTAACAAACTTCAAATAATGAAACCACAATAATAGTAAAGTGGTGATAGTTGAAGGTAAAGTAGCTTTGAAAACCTGTTTTTTATGTTTGTGTATGTGTGTTGGTGCCTATTTCTGAGCAAATACTTAAAAGATAATTGTGTACTCACAAAGTGAATACATAATTGTACTCCATGTGCATCTGTATATTTATTTACAAAAATCCAGTACACAGTTTTGATATTTACAGCACACACTCATACACATTACATTCATCATTACGGGAGCAGTACAGAAATAAATTTGATCTGGACTACTTGAATACATTTTAAAGGGAACCACACATAATATTTATATATAGTGATACACATGTGCCATGTGCATATGAATACACAAAAAGGGCATTGTCTTTGGATATGAACACTACTTAACCACACCACAGTTCTGACAAAACCTCAGCATAAGCATAGGAAAGTTTTAGCAACTGTTTCTTGGTTTCATTGTTTAGTTATGAAAAAAGACAAACTATACTTTTTATTTGAATTGTTCCTTGGATATACATAAACACAATCACATGTGTCTGTTTGTGCGGGGTATGTGTATGTAATATAGATTTTTAATATATATATATATATATATATATATATATATATATATATATATATATATACATACATATATATATATATATATATATATATATATATATATATATATATATATATATATATATATATATATATATATATATATACGCAACATCAAGACTACACCATAAACATCAAGTCAAAGTTAAGTCCGACCTTGATTTTATTTTAATTCGTTTATTCACTTTACTTTTTCATCTGCCGAAAGAATTCACAGAGGATATATGTAGTTGAAGAGGAGTTTGGTTGCTAACGATCGAAAAACAGAAAGAAATTAAATGATTCAAACAAAACAAATCACATAATTTCACC